GCGTGCGCTCTGCCCTCTGTCAGCCACAGCTCGCAGTCCACAGCCGGCGCTTTGGAGCTGCCTTTGTAGCTTCATCATTGTCCGATTCAGCGCACTCGTGCTGCTCACCATGGCCACTGCTGCACCCTCTCAGGTGCGCCAGAACTACCACAGCACCTGTGAGGCCGCCGTCAACAGCCTGATCAACCTGGAGCTCTACGCCTCCCACGTGTACTTCTCCATGGCCTTCTACTTCGACCGCGACGACGTGGCCCTGGAGCACTTCTCCCGCTACTTCCTGCGCCTGTCACGCGAGGAGAGGGAGCGTGCCGAGAAGCTGATGGGCCTGCAGAACCTGCGCGGTGGCCGCATCTGCTTTGGCGAGGTCCAGAAGACCGACTGCGACGACTGGGAGGACGGGCTGCAGGCCATGGAGTGCGCCTTCCACCTGGAGAAGAGCATCAACCAGAACCTCCTGGAGCTGCACCAGCTGGCCATCAAGAAGGGCGACGCCCAGCTCTGCGACTTCCTGGAGAGCCACTACCTGCACGAGCAAGTCAAGATCATCAAGGAGCTGGGTGGTTACCTCACCAACCTGCGCAAGATGGGGGCCCCGGAGGCCGGCCTGGCGGAGTACCTCTTCGACAAGCTCACCCTGGGCGACCGGGACAAGGAGAACTGATTTGGGACTGTCCCCACAGCCACGGGTGCCTTCCCCAGGTCAGGCCACAAGGCCGGGCGTGCATATTGCCGTTTCAGAAGTTCACTTAAGTTTTTTCCTTTCAGTTGTACCATTGTTTCCAATAAAGTTATCTGGTTCTTAAAGCAGTAAAGGTGTCTGGTTGATTTGTGTGTGCAAAACTCTCACCTTTGAGAAATAAGGGCAAATCCCTGTGCGTGGGTTTAAAACGGGTATCCAGGGGGCTTTCCACCCACCCATACACACCCCATTCCCATGCAGCTCAGGATCTCTGTGGATGGAGGGGAAAGGTACTCCACTGGCCCCTGGAAAACACAAAATTATTCTTCCCTGTATAAACTGTGTGGACATGCGGGTTGGGGTGAAGGGAGGAGGGCTGGGATGAGGTGGGGTGGGTGGTCGGGGGCCCTAGTATGGTTTATTTCCAGTCTTTGGCTATTGTGGATAATGCTGACATGAATATTTTTGTACAAGATTTTGTGGGGACAGTTGTTTTCAATTATCTTCAGATACAAACCTAAGACAGGAATTGCTGAGTCATATAGGAGCTATGTACTTAACATTTTGAAGACTTGCCAGTTTCCTAAGATTGGTATTATTTCACAATCCCACAGGCAAGGTATGAGAGTTCCTCACCTCTTCATCAAAACTTGTTATCGTGTGTCCTTTTTTCTTTGCCATCTGAGTGTTGCGAAGTCATTTCTCATTGTGCTTTTTGTTAGGCTCCTCTGGAGGTACCCTTGTCCACCAGTTGCCAGTGTCAAGAATGAGTACTGGTACTGAGTTGAGCTGATGACAGAGTGATCACAAACACAGAGCAATTGTATACAGTTTATCACATAAAAGAAAGAATGAAAGTAAAGAATGAAGCTACACAAAGTGAAAATACATTCCAGAGAGAGTGGAACGGATCAGTCTTCACGAGTGGGGAAAGACCCCACAGTCTGAGCACACCCTGCCTTTTATAAGCTCACTAGTTTGTCCTGCCTTTCTCCTGGCAGGATTGGTTGTTGTTTCCCATCTTTTGGGGTGATTCATAGGTTGGGGTTATATAACAGAGCACATGACCGATTACATAACAGGTTGGTTATGTAAGTTTCCCTTTCTATGCATGCATCTTTCCCAGAATGCTTCACGAAGCCCCACTCATGTTACGCTAATTAGATCGTAATGAGCTCTAGGTCAATTCAAGGTTACTAGGAACTTTTTACTAGGTATGTTCCCACTAGGGAACTGTTCCTAGCCGCAATTTGGTTCCAGCTCTCCACCCTTAGCCACTTCCTTGCCATCTGTTTACCCTCTGCCAGACCTAATAGTTTTGATTGCAGTTTCCTTTTGGCTCATGATGTTGAGCATCGTTTAGTGTGCTTATTGGCCATTTATACATTTCCTTTGGAGACATGTCTATCCAAGTCCTTTGCTCATTTTAAAAATTGGGTTGATTTTTATTATTTGGTTGTAAGAGTTCTTTATATACTCTGGATACAAAACCCTTATTAGTTACATAATTTGCAAATATTTTCTACCATTCTGTGCATTTTTTTTCCTCTTTCTTTTGAAGTACACAAGTTTTTAATTTTGATGTAGTGCAATTTATATGTTTTTTTCTTTTGTCATATTTTCATCAGCCAATCAATACAAAAGCTCATTTTATTGCTTGTGCTTTTGGTGGCACATCTAAGAAACTAGTGCCTAGCCCAAGGTTATGAAGATTTACTCTGATTTTTTTGTGAAAGTTTTATAGTTTTCTCTCTTACATTTAAGTCTATGAACGATTTATGATTTAATTTTTTGTATATGGTGTAAAGTAGGGCTTCCAAATCCATTCTTTAGCATGTGGCTATCCAGTTATGCAAGCATCATTTGTTCAAAAAACTATTCCCTACCCTTGTCAAAAATCTATTGACATGTATAAGTTTATTTCCAGAGCCTGAATTCTATTCCATTGATTATTTTTACCTTTATGCTAACACCACACAGTCTTATTAATGTAGCCTCATAATAAGTTTTGAAATTAGGAAGTGTGAGCACTCCAACATTGTCTCTTTTCCTTTCCATATAAATTTTAGGTTCAGCTTTTCAATTTCTGGCAAAAACAAAAAATGGGATTTTGATAGGGAAGCCTTTGTTAAATCTATAGATCACTCTGGGGATTATTGCCATCTTCAAAGTATTAAGTCTTCTGATCCATGAACACAGAATGTCTTTACACTTACTTAGATCTCCTTTAATTTCTTTCAAAAATATTTTGTAGTGTTGTGTATAGTATACTCTTGCATTTCTTTTGTCAAGTTTATTTCTAAGTATTTTATTCTTATTGATGCTATTATGCATAGAATTATTTTCTTAATTTTCTTTTCAGATTGTTCATTACTGGTGTTTAAAAACACAACTGATATTTGTGTATTGATTCTATATCCTGAAATCTTGCTGAACTTGTTCATTAATTTTTATAATGTATTTGTATTATGTTATCTGCAAATAAAAATAGTTTTACATCTTCGTTTCCTATCTACAACCCTTTTATTTCTTTTTCTTGCCCAGTTATCCTTGCCTAGTTCCTGATCTTAGGGGAGAGTTTTAAGTTTTTCAACTTAAAGTAAGATGCTAGTTTTGGGTTTGTCATATATGCCTTTTATCAGGTTAAGAACGTTTCCTTTTATTCTTAGTTTGACTATTTTTATCATAAAAGGGTGGTAGATTTTGTCAAATGCTTTTCCTGTGTCTATTGATATGTCATTTTTGTCCTTTATTAATTTTATTAATCATTCCATTGATTGCTTTTCATAGGTTGAAACAGCCTTGCACTCCTGGGATAAATCCCACTGGGTCATGGTGTATAATCAGTTTTATATGTTTCTGAATTCGGTTTGCTAGTATTTTGTTCAGAATCTTTATACCTATGTTTATCATATTGGTCTGTGTGTTTTTTTTCTTTTTCTTTTGATGGCTTTGTCTGGTTTTGGCATTATGCCTTTTTAAATCTTCTACTTTTCCTACATTATCCTGTTCCTACCTAAATATGATTTTTTATCTTTCCCCAATCACTTCACTTTCTATATTTCCAGTTACTCACTGAGGAAAGTGAGAGAGAGTGAAACTGAGAATGAAGGAAAGAGAGCAAAACTTAAGGAAAAGGAAGGATAACATAATCTCAGCTATGACGGGCATATGTGAATCATTTCTAGGTAATTTTTACTTGTTAGCTTAAATTATCTAGTCACCTGATTCTAGCTATGAGGCGATACGTCATTCAAAGGACCAGGCATTGGGTAATCACCTCAATATATTTTGGCCTTAAGCCTACCGGGGACCCTCACTCTGCCCCATGTCTTTCATCCTGTGCCCTTTGGCATAATGCAATAG